AGCTGAAGGCTGGGCTGGGCATAGATTGCTGCAAAAATTGAAATTCCTGAAAAGAAAACTGAAAGCTTGGGGGAAAAAAGAATTTAAATCATTTGCAGAGGAAAAAAGTGCCATCCTTTTGGAGTTGGAAGATCTGGATAACAGGGAACAATCAGGAGTTCTGGACGAAGATAGAAGAAGGAGGAGAGATGATTTAAGGAATCTTTGGGAAAAGGTAATCAGAAAAGAAGAAATCTTCTAGAGGCAAAGGTCAAGAGTCAAATGGTTAAAGGAAGGTGATAATAACACAAAATTCTTCTACAGCTACGCGATGGGAAGGCGTAGAAAGAACCTTATCTCAAAAATCAAGGTGGACCAGAGGGAAGTGGAAGATGCTGAAGAAATCACAGAAGCATTTCTTAATCACTTCAAAAATCTCTACTCCAAGGGAAGTGGTAGGAAGTTATATTTAAGAGATTGGGAAGGACCGACTCTAGCAGAAGATAAGAGAGAATGGCTCGAAATGGATTTTGAGGAGCAAGAAATAAGAGAAGCAGTTTTCGAGATGGATGGAGATAGAGCCCCGGGCCCGATGGCTTCCCCATCTTTTTTCAGATATGCTGGGAAATCGTAAGAGTGGATCTTTTGGAGGTCTTTAAGGAATTCCACTCCACGGCAGTTATAAACAAAGGAAATAACTCTGCGTTTATCTGCCTAATCCCAAAGAAAAATGGTGTCATGGAAGTGAAAGACTTCAGACCAATAAGTCTAGTAGGGAGTGTGTACAAAATCCTGGCAAAGGTCCTAGCAAAAAGATTTAGAGAGGTCCTAAAAGAGCTGGTCTCTCCAAATCAGTTTGCATTCGTGAAAGGAAGACAACTTGTAGACAGCATCCTAATTGCAAATGAAGTTGTTGAAGATAGAAGAAAGAGTGGAAGGAAGGGCTTTCTTGTGAAGCTAGATTTGGAAAAAGCTTACGACAAAGTAGACTGGGACTGCCTCCTCCAAATTCTGAAACTGAGGGGTTTTGGAACGAAGTGACTGCAGTGGATGAAAGGCTGTA